GGCGAGTCTCATCCTCACCTGAACACCAAGAGCAGTCCTGCTGAGAGGCACGTGTGTCCTCAACACTTGATGCTGGGCACACAGGGAGGGACGAGCCCAGGGTCACCTTGTCCTTTGCACGGGGCGACCATGGTGCCCCTGGGATTCCTCATCCCTCCTCTCTGGCTGCTGAGTTAGGGGCCTTCGGTCTCCTGCCTTGGGCAGTGGGAGTCAGGTAGAATCTGAGCAGAGGGAGGCAGTGAGTGACCACGTGCCAGCTGGAGGTTGCACCCTTTGGATCCTCTCAGCCTGGGTGAGCAGCTCAGAGCACAGACAGAGCCAGAGCTGGATGGAGGGCGCTGGCTGGGTCTGATCAGGGTCTCGCTCTGCTGCCTGTGCTGGACTGGGAGCACAAGGCCTGCAGCGGGGCTCTGCAGGGAGGGGGCGCTGGCAGGGGTCCTGACCCCACAGAGGAGCGGGACTCAGTGGTGGGCAGGACACCAGGGCAGCAGCCTCAAGGTTGGAAGGGGCTGCAGGTCGCAGCTCCCTCCCGGTCTTCCCATCTCCCCACCATATCCCTGCTGGGGACAGGCCCAGTCTGGGTCGTAGGTGGCCATCCACAGGACGTGGCAGGGCGTGGAGCCAGGGCTGCGCAGATGGTCTGTGATGTCTTGGGCTAGCCCGTGGGACACAGCTGGCAGAGGGGAAGGGGACGACCGCCACACCCTTTGTGTCCCCACGGAGGCTGCCTGGGCATGTGTGCGTGTGCATGCCACCTCCGCGTGTGTGAGCCGAGAATTGTAGGAGTGTGCGTGTGCGTGCCACTTCTGCGTGTGAGGGCCCGCGTGTGTGAGCCGAGAATTGTAGGAGTGTGCATGTGCGTGCCACCTGTGTGAGTGCCCGCGTGTGTGAGTCGAGAATTGTAGGGTAGTGTGCACGTGCATGCCACCTCTGCGTGTGAGTGCCCACGTGTGCAAGCTGAGAATGGTAGGGTGTGCATGCATGCACAGGTTGAGAACGTGTGCGCCTGTGTGTGCCCATGTGTGTGTCATGCACACTTGTGTGTGTGTCGTGTGGTGGCTCTCGCCCAGGGAGGGTGCACGTAGGGCTCTCTTCCCGGGAGCATGAGGCCACACCCGATCGCTGCCAGTCCAGGGCTCAGACGCTGGGCCAGCGGGGAAGCCCTGGGGGACCCCATGCCTCTGGCAGCAGGAGCCGCTGCTGCCAAGGGTGGCCCGTGCTCAGGTCTTCTGCGTGTCCTAGCTGCACTTCCCTCGCGCTGCGTGGCCTGCCATTCCCATGGGACCCTGGTGTCTGTCCTTTCTGTAGCTCCTGTCCCCCCC